GGAAAGCGGTATTTGGTTTTCTGTTTTTCTTTGACTTCATTCCTATTCTAGTTTTCTTTCCACATAAACATCAGATCCCTCTCCTTTCCATTCCAGTTAATTTTGATGGATTCTCCCTGCAGGTTAGAGAATTGCTTGCCTTACACTCACTTAAATCCTGGCTTGGTGTGTGTGCATGTGTGTGTGTGTGTGTGTGAGAGGGAGAGAGAGAGAGAGAGACAGAGAGACAGAGACAAAGAAAGAGAGATGCAGATTAAAAACCCAATGCAAGGAGGATTTAAGCATCCATAACGTGCATACATTAACATGAGAATTGCTCTGTAAAAAGTTAGAATAACGGTTTTCAATTTTCATAGTGCACGTTTTCTGAGTTCTTCAAGCTGTACCATCAGAGAAGTAAGGAGAAAACTGGTACCACTGTCCCTGCTTTGCCAAGGAGAAATTAAGATATTGTAGATTAAGACAGTCATCCTGTTCAAACAGCAAAGAATAGAAACAGCGTGTCATAAATCAGAATCAAACAGCAAGTGACCCCTTTGAACAGCTGCGATTTTCATGGAAGAAGCAGGTACGTTTACTTTAGTACTAACTGTGCTTTTCACATAGAAACGTTTTGACTTACACGGCTTACACATTTTAGTTTTAGTTCTAACATCTCTGTGAAGTGAGGTGACTGTTGACAATGGTTAACATCTAGCGCATGCTTAAATGGGGGACCGGAAACCAGTTGCTGCCAAGTCAGTTGTGACCCTGCGTGTATCAGAGTAGAATGGTGCTGTGCTCCATAGTTTTCAATAGCTGATTTTTCAGAAGTAGATTGCCAGGGCTTTCTTCTGAGGCACCTCTGGGTGAACTTGAACCTCCAACATGCTGGTTGGCAGCCACACACCTTAACTGTTTGCACCGCACAGGGACTCCTACACCGAGTCAGTTCTTCAGTGGCTGAAGTTGGGAAGCACTGGCTACCGGCCACTTTATTTCCCTGAGAGTCGTGTGTCTACACTGTGGTGTGCATGACAGCCCCTGGGAGGGGCCAAGAGTCTGCATTTTAACAAGCACCCAGGAATTGAGAGTACCCTGGCCCCTTGCTACTCTGGTGTGATGCACGGACTAGCAGCCTCAGCATCGCTGGGGAGCTTGCTGGAAATGCCGGGCCTCCCTGGATCTGCTCTGCGTTGTTATGTGGGGTCCACATCCACAAGACCCCAGGCAGTTCCTGGGCACTTTAAAGTTTGCAAACCGCTGAGCTAACATACTGCTGGGAGCCATCAGTGCCTAGTGACCCCTTGGAGAGCACAGGCCACGCACTTCCGAAGGGCTCATGGGAAAGGGAGGATGTTCCTGGGCTCTGACAGGCCCTCCGTTATGGATTGAATTGTGTCTCCAAAAAAGTCATGTTGAAGTCCCCACCCCTGTACCTGTAAATAGGACCCTGTTTGGAAATAGGGATTGTCTTATGTTAACAAGGTCATACCAGAGTAAGATGGGTCCTAAACCTAATCCCCGCTGAGTGAGTGGTGTCTTATAAAGAGCAGAGTAGACACCAGACACATGGGAGGTGGATCGCCAAGCCCAGGAATGCTGAGAATTGCCAGCAGCTACTAGAAGTTGAAAGAGACAGAGAACGACCGTGCCTTAGAGCTGACATTCTGAACTTGGACTTCTAGACTCTAAAACTGTGAGGAAATAAATTTCTGTTCATTAAAACCCCCCATTTGTGGCATTTTTGTTACTGCCTCTCTTGGGGATGCCCCTTTAGTGTCTCCAGAACTTTCCATTCTACCACGTCTGCCTTTGTCCCACTTGCTTTGTTAAGACCTTGGTCCCCCGAGCAGCTGCCTGGCTGTCTGGATTCTCTGAGGTAGACGCCTGTGGCTGGAACGTGGCTGGAGGAGGGACATCTGTCTTGGTTCTGCTGCTCCCAGAAGATGTAGTTTGCTTGGCAGATGGGTTCTGGCTGCAGCTCCTGGGGCATGGGGTGGGGAGGGGGTTGTGCAAAGAAGGCTGGGTGCATGAGGCTCTAGAAACGTTGCCATAAGGATAGTAAAACCTGGGAGACAAGGAAGGTAGGGAAGGAGGATGTGCAGAGGTGGGCACCGTTCCCTGACCCTGTGGCGGGTAGTGCGGGCGTAAGGTTCTGGGGTCTCTGAGCGTGGGGGCTACTGTGCTATGAGAGTGACAGCACTCGCGTGTGGCAGATGGTCTTTCCAGAGAGGGCTGCAGTGTGTCTCTCCTCCCGTGTGCTTTTCCAGAATGGGGCCTTGCCACTCCCCATCCACAGGTGGAATAATCCCCTCCCTTGAATCTGGGCTCACCTGATGAGTCCCTTAGAACCATTCAGGTGCTGTGGAGGTGACACCCTATGATATCTGAGGCTAGGTTACAAAAGGCCAGTCAGCTTCTGCCTGGTTCTCCTGGGACACCATTTTAGAGGAAGCCAGCTGCTGTAAGAAGTCCAACTGCCCTGACGCCGTGGTGCCGTGGAGTCCACGTGTGGGTGTTGCCATTCACAGCCCGGCAGAGCGCCCAGCTGACAGCCAGCATCCGTGGTCAGCCGTGTGATTGTCTGTTTTGGGTTGATTAAAAAAACCAAAAAAAACCCAAACCTGTTGCCATCGAGTTGATTCTGACACATAATGACCCTATAGGACAGAGTAGAATTGCCCCATAGGGTTTCCAAGGAGCAGCTGGTGAATTTGAACTGCCAACCTGTTGATTAGCAACCGAACTCTTAACCACTGCGCCACCACGGCTCCATGGATTGATTTGTGTCCCCCAAAAACATATGTTGAAATTCTAACCCCTGGTACCTGTGCATGTGATCTTATTTGGAAATAGAGTCTTTGAAGATATAATTAAGTCAACATGAGGTCATACTGGAGCCGGGTGGATCCTAATCCAATGACTGATGTCTTTATAAAAAGAGGAGAAGAGACAGACACACTGAGACACTCAGGGAAGATGGCCGTGTGACTGCTGAGGCAGAGATTGGAGAGGTGCTGCCACAAGCCACAGAATGCCTGGGGCTATCAGAAGCTGGAAGAGACAAAGTTCTTCCTCTAGAGCCTTCGGAGAGAGAGCATAGTCCTGCCAACCCCCTGAATTCAGACATGCGGCCTCCAGACTGCGAGAGAACAAATTTCTGTTCTTTTAAGCCATCCACCGTATGGTGTTCTGTTAGGCGGCCCTAGGACACTGATACGTGGCCTTTTTGACGTCCAGCCCAGTCGAGCCTTCAGGTGACTGCAGCCCCAGCCGATGTCCAGCTGCTGCAACCCCGGGAGGGACTCCGAGGGAGGCAGTCTGGCCAAACCCTTCTCTATTTCCTAGTCCACAAAATCATGAGCAAAATATAAAATGGTTGTTTTCAGCCATTAAGTTTCGGAGTAATTTCTTATGCAGCAATAGTAACTGGAGTAGTCTGGAAGCTTCAGTTGCACAAGTACATTACATATTCTCATCAAGTTTTTCAACTAAAATCCATTTTCATTCCTTTTATGTAAAATGTTTTAAAAACACTTCTGGGCAGAGTATAGGTTGTCAGAAAATCAAACAGGGAACAAACCTGAAAACTGGTGAAAGCGTGAGAGTGGAAGCCAGAATAAAGTAATAGTTACTGTTCATGCTCTGCTGGGCCCTCTACGTCTGTTCTTTCCCTCAGTGTGCCCATTTTACAGATGGGGGAACTGAGGCTCAGAAGCGTTAAGGAACTCACTGAGTCAGAGCTGGGATGTGCATACTGATGAGTTTGACCCCAGAGCCTGAGCCTGCAGTGGGTGGGAGAGCTGTTGGGTGAGGAGAGTTAACCCACTGAGTCCCCACTCCCTGGGGACATGAGTGTGGACCCGCAGGGATCATCTGTTATTGTTGTTATGTGCCGTTGAGTCGATTCTGACTCATAGAGAGTCTACATGACAGAGCAGAACTGCCCCATATTATGGGAGCAGATCACCAGGTCTTTTCTCCTGTGGAGCAGCTGGTGGATTTGAACCACTGACCTTTTGGTTAGCAGCCAAGTTCTTAACCATTGCACCACCAGGGCTCCTTAGAGATCATCTAGTTTAGCCTTTTAATTCTCACTCTGCCCCTTAGTGGTGGTGCTGATGGTGGCAGGGTATCATGGAGGGAATAGACCAGCTTTTTCCCCAGAGTTGCCAGCCACTCTCTCACCCTTGTGCCAACTCAGGACCGTTGGTTCCCAAAGACTGTGCTGCTGGCCTTTGCCTTGCCCCAGTCTGAGCCACTAGTCTGCAGTTCACTTTTGTTGTTAGTTCATTGAATCAGCTCCAACTGTGGCAATATCATGTATAGCATCATAAAACGTTGCCTGGTACTGCGCCATCTTCATGGTTGTTGGTATGTTTGCGTCCATTATTATGGCTCACTGAGGGTTTTCCTCGCTTCCACTAGCCCTCCCCTTTCCCAACATGATGTCTTTCTCCAGCGATCACTTCATCCCGACTGACCCAAAGGAAGCGAGTGGAAGTCGGACAGTATTCTGTGACGCATCAGATTTTCATTAACTAATTTTCATAAGTAGATTGCCAGGCCTTTTCTCCTAGTCTGTCTTAGTCTGGAAGCTCCATTGAAACCTGTCCACCATGAGTGACCCTGCTGGTATTTGAAATACTGGTGGCATAGCTTCCAGCATCACAGCAACACGCAAGCCACCACAGTACGACAAACTGACAGACGGACGGTAGAGTTCACTTTGGAACCCCCAAATGCTTAGATTCTTTGTTAAGTTGGCCTCACAGCTATGCCCTTGTGCCCTGAAGTGGTCTTTCTGGCAGGTGGCCACAGAGGAGTCTATCACATCTCAGTGGTTTCTTCCATCGCTCCCCAGTTTGAACTGGCTGAGAACCATCAGGAGGGACAGCCTGTTTCCCATCCCAGCCCCTGAGGGCTGTACACGAGGGTGTGCAGGGGCGGGCCTTCTTGGGAGCGGGGACAGCAGCTGAGCGCTCAGACCTCATGCATCTGTCTTTGTTTTGTCTCAGGTTTACAGAGTTTTTGGATCCATTCCAGAGAGTCATCCAGCCGGAAGAGATCTGGCTCTATAAAAATCCTCTGGTGCAATCAGACAACATACCAACCCGCCTCATGTTTGTAAGTACCATGATTTCATAGCTGATTTGCCCATTCTCCCAAGTATGAACCAAACCCATTTGCGTCTCTGCCTCTCCACCCGCTGCTGAAGACGGTGGGCAGCCTGGAAGAGAGAGAAGGTGAGCAGCCCATCAGATTACACTTCACTTCCAAACCAGGAGGGGGCCTGCTTGGTTAGGTGCAAGGTAGCAATTGCCCAACACTTTGGAAGGAGAAGAGGCCGGCTTACCTGGGCTGTGTGGAGTTGTTTCCAGATATTTAGTGAGGGAAGACTAGAAAACAGTGACCTGATTTTCCCATCCCCTCTCCTTTAAGGATAAGCCTCAGTTTTGCCAAACTAAGATACGGTAGATAGCTCTGGCAACCACTCTTCTTGGTGGGAGATTGGTGGTTCAGTGGTAGAATTCTTGACTTCCATGCGGAGACCCACGTGCAGTTCCCTGCTAATGCACCTCACGCGCAGCCATTACCTGTCTGTCAGTGGAGGCTTGCATGTTGCTATGATGCTGAACAAGTTTCAGCAGAGCTTCCAGACTAAGAAGGACTAGGAAGAAAGGAGTGACAGTCTACTTCCGAAAATCATCCAGTAAACACTATGGATCACAATGGTCGAATCCACAATTGATCGTGGGGGTGACGCAGGACCGGGCAGTGTCTTGTTCCATTGTGCATGGGGTCGCCAAGAGTCAGAGCAAATTCCATCGCAGCTCACAGCAACAGTTTCTGGTTTTAGCTGGTCAGTTGCAGACAACTTGAAGAGAGCACTCTGACTCAACCTCCAGGCAATGTCTGTGTCTCTCTAGAGTAAATAAGCAAGAACCCAAATATCTGGTGAATGTAATGAGATTATTTTTACCTCCCACCTGTTACATGACTGTGGCAACATTTTACACTTCACTTCCTAGGAACCAGGCATTTTTGCTGAGCGTTTAAGAAAATTATCTTATTGAGTCCTGCTCAACATGGCGGTGGGGAAGATGGCATTACCGTCCACAGTTTGCAGGTGCAGAAGTGCCTCCCAGAGAGATGAGGAAACTTGCCCCAAGTTGCACAGCCAGTAAGTGGTGCAGCTAGGATTCCAATCCAAGCAGTGGGCTCTGGAGCCAAACTCCCAGCCCCGAGGCTGAAGGAGGGTTGAGAGAAGAGTCAAGGATGCCTTGCAGATGCGAACTTCCTCCCGGAGAACTGCCATCAGACCTTCCTGCAGCACAGGAAAGATTGAGGCTCTCCCTTGTCACAGAAGAATAATGTAACTTTTGGAAGGATGGCACCACAGCTTGAAGGTTATTCCTGTTTGTGAGCTGTTGTGTCTCATGCCTCTGGGAACCGAGATGACTGCTCTAGAAGCTTTTCTTGAGCGTGATAGCAATATTTTGTGTTTTGGAAGAAATGCCTCGTTTCATGGAAGAAAGCTTGTTAATTAGCGGTCATTGGAAAGACCTTTGTGTCTGTGAACTCCCTAAAATGCTTAGAACGTATTGTTTTAGTTGCTTTTTTAAAAATGTTGTTTTTTTTTAATGAAAATATACACAGCAAAGGATATAGCATTTTGACAATTTGTACATGTACAATTCAGTGACACTGATTACATTCAACTGGTCCAGTGAGTCCGGATTTTTTAAGAATTTGAGTTCTGTTCCACCTTTTGTTCCCATTCCATCAGGGTCCATCTCTTGTGATCCTGATCAGAAAGGTCAGTAGTGGTATCTGGTTGGGCACCATCTAGTTGTTCTGGTCTCAGGGTAGATGAGGCCGTGATTCATGTAGACCATTCCATAGTGTTTTCAATGGCTGATTTTTTGGAAGTAGATTGCCAGGCCTTTCTTCCAAGGCACCTCCGGGTAGACTTGAGTCACCAACTTTTCAGCTAGAAGTTGAGTGCCTTAACCTTTGCACCACCCAGGGACTCTCAGGTTAGTTAATTATTACTTAATCCAACAGATATTTATGAACCACCTGGTCTGAGCCGAGCATGGTGCCAGGTGCCCAGGATGCCAATCTGAATGAGACACAGTTCCTATTCTAGTGGGAGACCTAGACATGAATACCAGCAGACGGCTCACCATCACAGGAAAGCCTTTGAAGAACAAGCAAGACTCCAGTGGGGTCTTGAAGGAATGATAGGCATTTGCCAATTTCTTTGGTTTACTTTTAAAATGAAATGCACCCAGACCTCCCCTTTGCCCTCCTCTCTTTTGCTCTGGCCACTGTCTGTCCAGAAGACTTATTCTCATAGAATAGTCCTGATACTGTGTTGATTTGATAGCGGGGTTCTCAGTTCTGAAGTAGGATGCTTCCTAGGAAGACAGAAATAGTCACTTTTGGGGAGGAAGGAGGGAAGAGAGACTTGTGATGGACGGTTTAATTTTTATGCTCTTTTAAAAAGTCCTAGGCAGTTCTTTTCCTGGTGATGGATGCAATTGTTTAGCCACAGCGGGGCCTTTTCAGGTGTCTGCGTGTCCTGGAGTTGTCTTCATCATCACTCTGCAGAACACCTTCCTCTCAAATGCCGGAAATTCAGGCTCTGTGGGCCCATTGTTTCATCGGATGTGGATGAACCCAGTGACAAGCTCTTCTCTGCCTCCTGCAGCTCTAACTTTGATCCCTTGTTAAAAGTTCTCGGCACACTCTTGCCCTTCCCCCTTTAGGCACAGACACGCTGCTCCTCGTTCTGGGGTTTTCCGGAAGCATCCGAGACAGCAGAGTGCCTTGCATTAGCATCGGGGGAGGCCTTACCTTCCAGGTCTGCCCGTGCGTGCTTGCTGGTTTCACTGGCGGATGCACAGGGCAGGGCCCTTCTTGGAGACACTGGTCATTTAGGGCGTGGGCAAGGCGCCTGGAGAATTAGGCCCTTCCCTGGCCCTGGCCTCCTCCCTGCGCTAAAAGGTTCCTGTTACGCAGACTTAAGGGCACAGGTAGGCTTGAGCTAGCAACGCTTTACCCTCATTAGTCTGGTGAGAGGGTCCTGGCACCCCTTTCCTGGTATAGTTGGGGTCATTTGTCAACAGTTTTCCCTGGGAAATAATGAAATGGTAGCCTATGGCCAGCATGTATTGGATGCTCACTCTCTGTGAGCTCTGTGGGTGGGCGGTGGGTGTGGGTTCTGAAGTGGACTGCCTGGGTTCAAATCCCAGCTTTGCCACTTGCTACCTGTGTGAAAGCACTTAAGTTCTCAGTGCCTCGGTTTCCCTATCTGTAAAAGAGGGGCTTTAACAACATTTCCCTCCTAAGGTGTGGAGAACGTCCGATGGGGTGATGGACAAACAACATTGTACTGGGTGGTGGTACATAGTAAGCATTCAATAACTGCTAGAGAATGTAGATCCTGGCAGCAATCCTTTGTTATGAATATTATTACTATTATATCCATTTTGCAGATGAAGAAACTGAGACTCAGAGGTTAAGTGGCTTGTTCAAGGTCACAGAACTGGGGCTTGAACTCAGCTCTTCTTTATCTGAGTCTGTTCCACACACTTCCATCTGTAGGGCTCTGGCTTCCCAGCCCGTGGAACAAGCATCATGCAAAACCAACCATATACCAGATCCTGCGTCATGATATTTAAAATGTATATACAATACATAATATATCAAAATAAATATATATGAATTGATTTCATTATTTAAAATTATAATGATAATCGTATATATCATCTCATGTGAGTGCTGTGTAGTATAGTTAATTGGTAATTTACAAGATGCCGTTTACAAGATCTTTCTCAGCCTCAGTTTCTCAGTCAGTAAAATGGGCGGTTGGGCTAAGGTGAGCACTGAGATTCAGGACTCCAGCCCAGGCAGTGTGGCAGCCCAGCTGGGGGCGTCCTGCCCACTGTGTGCCTTATGTGGTTGAAGTATCTCTCCGAGGTTTAGGTTCTTATCTGTCTGTTGGAGATAAAGTGTTCAGCAACAGAGTTGTTAGAAAATTCAACAAATCTGAGAAAAGCCCCTGTCTTAGTTATCTAGTGCTGTTATCACAGAAATACCACAAGTGGATGCCTTTAATAAAGAGAAATTTATTCTCTCACAGTCTAGGAGGCTAGAAGTCCGAATCAGGGTACCAGCTCCAGGGGAAGGCTTTCTCTCTCTGTTAGCTCTTGCGGAAGGTCCTTGTCATCAATCTTCTGCCGGTCTAGGAGCTTCTCAGTGCAGGGACCCCGGGTCCAAAGGATGCACTCCCCTCCTGGTTCTTCATACTTGGTGGTATGAGGTCCCCATCTCTCCACTAATTTTGCTCTCCTTTTATCTCTTGTAAGATAAAAGGTGATGCAGGCCACACCCCAGGGAAACTCCCCTTACATCGGATCAGGGTTGTGACCCGAGTAAGGGTGTTGCATCCCACCCTAATCCTCTTTAACGTAACCTAATCTTGCCTCATTAACCACAGGCAGAAATTAGGATTTATAACATACAGGAAAATTACGTCAAATCACAAAATGGAGGACAGCCACACAATACTGGGAATCATGGCCTAGCCAAGTTGACACATATTTGGGGGGGACACCGTTCAATCCGTGACAGCCCCCATCACACAGTAGGTGCTTACAACATAATAGCTGTCACAGGCATTTGTACGGCTTATCCATGTGGTGGAGCCCTGGTGGTGCTGTGGCTAAGCACTGGGCTGCTAACTGAAAAATCAGCAATTCGAACCCACCAGCCGCTCTGTGGGAGAGAGATGTGGCAGTCTGATTCCATAAAGATTACAGCCTTGGAAACCCTGTAGGACAGTTATACTCTGTCCTATAGGGTCACTATGAGTTGGAATGGACTCGACAGCAATGGGTATCCATGCTGCTGGATAAGGGTCTGTACCTTCCTCCTCCAAGTCTGGAGAAGAGCGATCACCGTATTTTACCTGACGCTTCCTACTTTCTAAGGCGAGAAGTGCTCTAACATTGTGGTTAAGAGTGTAGACTGTGATTTAAACAGTCTGGGTGTATATCGTGCCAGAGAAAGATGTGACAGTCTGCTTCCGTAAAGATTTACAGCCTAGGAAACCTTAC